AAATAATATATATAATACCTTTACTCAAAATCATATTTCACTTTTCTCACCGTTATTCAGAGCAAACTGCTTCAAATCACTGAGCGTCTTCAGTTCAGCAGCAGGACATTTGGAGACACACAGGGCAATGGACTTGATCTTCCTGTTTATTAAGTCAAGGTTGCATGGGTCTAGAAAGAAAACATACCTGGTGGGAAGAAGAAAAAATGAATAATCTGATTAATTAAGTGGTTACATTGTCCCTTGAAGAAACATATGAGTACATTTGGTGTTTACTATGCCAGTGGGGACTGTTGTCTGGGCAGAGAATGAAAGATGGTGACATTTGCTACCCTGCCGCACAGATCCGTCTTTGTAGCAGAAACGCCTTGTATTCAAAGCCTCCATGGGCAATCAGCCCATCAATAAAGCATGACCCATTGTTCCAGTAAGACTGGGCCTACAGGCTGCATGCTGACGGAGAGCTACAGCCCAAAAGTGGGAATACAATCAAAGACATTTTCACATGAATTATAACAAGAGGACAATTTGTGACAATTCTATCGGGGTGATGAAAAATACCACATTAAACCAGTTTTACTGGTTGAGAAATGATTAAACTATGATTTTCATTCAGATATGTGAGGAACCTAAACCCATTTTATCACAACGCAACCATAAGTCAGTGTAACTCGCTGTTCCTGATTTTAATATACATTAACCTTCTGACAGATGAAGTTGCTCACACAGACTGACCTGGACAGAGGATTGGGAATATGTCATTTTCAGGAGAATCCTGTTCCATTATCTATTGCTTTTCCCTTTTTACCTTTTTTTCGGTTATGGTCTGGGACAGCTCAATGGTATCAACTGTGTAAGCCTGAGTGGGAAGTAAACTGAAGTCTTCACAAATGCAGGAAGCGGTTGTTTGTGGCAAATTAGATTAGGATTACATGATGCAACCCTTGCATGTAAACAAGTAATACTGAACGCCTTCTTCTGTGCCACCAAGACTCAACTACAGAGTCTCAACTTTAAAGTACTGAATCTAGAAGTAAATGTTCTGTCACTATAGGCGATCTAATCCAGAACACAGTGCAAACGGAAAATACAGAAGGGACAGCACAGCAGGGATTTGATGCATCTTCAATAAAAGAAAAATAGAAATTAAATGTAGATAAACATCTCGGTCACATGTTAAGTCATCCGTAACCCATCGGACTAACTTGTTTTCCCTCATGTCCCGGCCACTGAGAGGTAATCCCTCGATCTTGGTGTTATTCATGCCACAGGTGTTGCCGTAACTATCATATCCAGAGATAAGCCTGGAGGCAGCTCCTGTGGCGATGGGAAAGGCACAAATGCACACCTGCAGACGACACAGATTAGAAAAGACGATGTTAGCTATCGGCCAGATGACGCAAAATAAAAATAGTAGACGCACAGTAACTAAAACGAATGCAGTCTATATATAGTTATAATGTTGTGTTGTTATTGTGACTGTTTTAGAGAGGTGTTGATTCAACTTTTTGGAAGATGTACGCATTTGTTGGAGATGTTGAACTGCATTGCAAATGTACAATAATCACCCTAACTGAAACAAATGGGGTTGACAAATTATTACAAAGTACTTCTACAATGCAATACAACAGCGACACAAACTACAGTCTCCAAAATGACCAAGCAGTTAAATAAACACCCATCTAAAAAGTTTAAAAACAAAATGATCTACATGTTTACGCTCGTGGATAAAATACTTATTGCACAACCTGTTGTATTAAATTAGCTTTAGCTTTAGCTGGGTGGTCACATTTAAGGTTGCATCTCCGTGTAAACGCACATTCAAACTGAAAACGTACCATCCCGATACAAAACAAGGTGAATACGATGAGCCATGGGACGTCCGTGCAGCTGTGCTGTTCCAGCGGTTTCCAGTCCCGTTTGCTCTGCCAAGGCATAAATGATACACAGTGAACAGATAATCCCGTTCGGTTGAGACTGCTGTGGTGCAGTAGCTTCGCTTTCGCTGCTCTTCCAACATCAGCAGACAAATCACTGAGTTGTTGCTGTAAAAACAAGCTGCTGCCGCCACTGCTGAAGAAGTGACGCTGTCGCTACACGTTGACTCAAAAGTCGTCTGCTAACAGCGTTACAGTGTTTCAAGTTGTGCAGCAGGCATAACTTCCATCATATTGTAGCCAACTTACCTCGGTGCTGTTGCAACATCCCATTGTGAACAACTTCAGCTAACTTTAACGAAAACAAAACTTTAAAAGTGCCTTTTATTCGGTTCAACTTTTTTAGCTCATTTCCCTTTCCCTTTTCTTTCTCCTTTTCCTTTTCTCTTTCTACCCAAGGACACAGCTCTGTTTGCGACCTGTTCAATTCAACAATAAACGCCCATTTGGGAGACTCACGCTGCAGGTAAACGCGGAAGAAATCAAATGTATTGTGCTGCCTTCACGGGCTATCAGAAATATCCCAATCATAATTTAAGAATTACCATAATATCCGAGATTAAACAATTAACAGATATTGTTGTCATCAATGCTTTCATATGCTTTTTTTTGTTTTTGTTTGCCACTTGAGTAGCTCTGTGAAACATTGACAACCATACCACAAAGAAATATGAGCTTTGTTGAAAGAATATCTCAGTAATTGCGAATTGGATTCGCGGAAAACCGGAGATCTCCTCAGTTGCCTCATAAATAGCTATTTATATGCATAAGATTGGCATTTGTATGATAAATAAAACAAAAAAGCAACTCAGCATACTATTAATCAAAACATATTACGAAACTGTATACATCATTATGCAATGTGAAGGGTTACAGCAACTGCTTTAATATTTGTATTATTCTAATGCAATAAGTAGCTCTAATAAGCTATATATACACTGTAAATAGTGTGTAAGCTTAGGCCTACACACGACTGCCTACACACATTTGGTTTGCTTGTAAAGATTAAGAACATGTAAAGCAATTGAAATATTGCCAGCCATTAATGTTATTATTATCATCATTATTATCATTAATGTTGTCCCCTCAAAAGTAAAGTCCCTGCAGGATTTAGAAGGTTACAAGGTGCAGTGAATGCAGCATAGCTGTCTGTTGATTTGAGACATGAAGCCCAGAGCCGTATAAAGAGAGAGTCGCGTCATCGGCTGTTCAAAATGCTTGATTGTCACGTGATTCAACTAGACTTCAGATAATTCTAGGAAGTTCTTTGCAGGCAATTTGAATGCGTAGATAATTGTTGAAATCGGTACAAACAGAGAAACAGAATTGCAGAATTTTGCAAATTAGTAGTTAATAAATTAATCAATTTTGTGCCTTGTTGACATATTAAGCTAAAGTTCCATTGTTCAGAGGAACCGAGGGGCATTTAGGGGTGAGGTTGCAGATTGCAAGCAACAAGATACCCCTCCGTTTATATTTATAGTTTAAAAAATAATGAATTCAAAACAGAATTAGACGTTATTTATAATTTTGATTTTATAATAACTAAATATTGATTCTAGATCAACAGCAAAGTTACTATGTAAAGTTGTTAATATCTCACTGGAAACAAATGTCAATAAATAACTAACATTCTTGAGTTAAGTTTATAAATGACAATAAACAAAATAAAGAACACAGACATCAGATAGTATGTCATGCCTCCTGTCCTCCTGGCTGCTTTGTCTCAGCCCGTACAGAATTACTCACAGACAGCTTTTGTTTTAGCTTGTTCGAAAAAAATAAAAATGCTTTTTACTGACAGTAACGAGCGAAGTCGTCATCAACTCGAATAATCTCCACTTCACCTGGTTCACTTCAGTGTCTCCACCGCAGCCTCTCTAGCTTTGCTCTGTGCTGAGTTAGTTCAGTGTGTTTGTACTACTAGTGTGTGTTGGAGGAGCTCAGCTCAACACAGAGAAGGCCGACAAGATAAACTCAGCATGACGATAGATTACACCAAAACATTTAACAAGGCGTTGCAACATGGTGGACTCCATGGACGTGGACTCACTCTGTAGATAGAAATGGCTTTTTCTAAGCTAACAAAAACATAACAATTCTTAGTTTCAGGTCATTATTAAACACTAACGAAAAGTATATGAATATACTCAGAAATATATTATTCTATTTCTGCAAATGCATCCCGCTAAATGTTACACACTGTTCCTTCATTGGACTATATGAATCGGTAACACTTAACTTTAAGTGTTATAAATTATAAAAATGTATAAATAATGATGTGCAAATAGATTGAGATTTGCTATTTTTTATGTTTTACAATCACTGTTCTATTCATTTAATGGCTTCATTTCATGTGTTTTGATGTAATTATATTAGAGTGGCTGTAATGGTGATATTGACAAACATATGAGGAGAGAGGAAACGAGGAAATATCAAATAAGTGACTTGGGATGTACGCTATGGCGCTGCTAGTATACGCTGCTAACTTCCGGGAACTATTGACAGGCTCCATGAGTCCATAGAGTGAATGGAGATGACGTGACTCTCATTAAACGGCTCAGGTGTCGCCTCAATATGACACAGATGTAAAAGTTGGCGCAGCTTGCTGGAATAATGGAGTAATGCAGGCTTACTGCGAAGATTTGAGGACGAACATAATTCATAGTGTGGCCAAGCTTGTCTCTCGTAATGGTAAACAATTAAATGATTGGGACGACTAAACCTGAAATGACAAAAAAATGATGTGTGCAACCCTACGGCTGCCATTTCACCTGCAAAGGTGAGTCACGTTAATGAATATAATGAGCTTCAGATTCAGACTGCCTTTGCTCAAATCATGAGACTTTTTGTAACAGTTGGTTACCGCAACTAATTCTTATTTTATCATGTGTGATACGTCTGCTTCTCCTTTTAGAAAATATACACTTGACTTTGAAAGGTTTTTATTTTACTTTAGAGAGCCTGGACAATTAGTTAGAGTGGCACTAACCCTAACCACACATTTAAAGCCACTTTTGCCTGCATGAGTTGAATTAGATAAAAATGTCCCAAAAATAACCTAGCTCCTTATACATATATGAACTTATAATATCCATAATACCAGATAGTTTCTTATCTTGCATGTGTCCCCATATTGATAAATATGACGTTGTGTCACCCCCAGCAGTCGGTGTCATGTTATTACAGCCCATTTTCTACCATCAAATGCTAATTGTTGCAGACGCCACAGGTAGCCTCACTGTTGGGGCACTATAGGACTTCATCGTTGCTCGGGTCCACTTCACTGGGGATCTACAATCTATGGTGAGGATGCCTGCTGACAAAGAGACTGCTGCAGGCACTCAAGCTGACGGATGGTCTCCTCCCTTGCTGTGTAGTCTCACTGCATGTGGGAGCTTTCCAGAGCCACACATGTTCACAAGTCCAGGCAAAGGTAAGTGATCTGGACACTGAGTTGCATCCCGTCTCTTTCAGTATCTCTTTATATTCATAAACACACCTTGGCACATCATTATTTCTGTCTCAGGAACAGCAGCTTTTTTTCTCTAATACACTTGATTTGTGTTCTTTGCACTGTGCTTGAAGTTGGTTGGACATGCTGTTTAAATGATGTAGACATTTGTGGCTTCTGAATGTCCCGAGTCTGATGTTTTTTGTAGCATCAATTTCAAGAAGGCATTGCCCCCTGTCTGCTGTTTTTCCAAGAGGTTTCTTCTCCTCATAGTGAAGATTCCCTGAGCTGTACACTTCCTGAGTGGGCTGGGATGTCAAACAGTGTCCTAAAGAAGAAGATCCTTGCATATTATTGTCCTTTTGCTCTAATTGTACTGTAAACGTTTCTACCGCATTACGTGGAAGACCAGAATGGAAGGTAAATATTTAACTGTGGCAATCTTGTCCACTTTTCACTCTATGCAGGTACAGTTGTGTCCCTGACAACTGCAACATTTCTGCAGCCTTAGGCCATATAAATAATCCCTTTTTATAAACTGAATGCAAGACTGATACAAATGCACGTTTTCCTCATACCTGATAATAGCTGTTATTGTGTCAGTACGGATTAAAAGCAAAATTAAGGAAGAGAACTTGCTGGACCAGAACATATGATGAGCGCTACGTGAACGTATGTGGGTGAACAAGGGCAGATGTTGGGCGGTTACATTTGGAACCAAGATGCAAACTAACATGGAGAACAAACATAAGTGCTCCAAGGTCTCTCTCCTCATCCTCCTCCTGGCCCCTCATCTCCTGACTCTTCATCTCAAGTATTTCCTGCTGATGCTGCTGTGGCAACGGTGTCCAAGGACAACACGTTTCTCTGGATCTCTACTGAAAGTGAGTCGATGCCAGCACAGCATATGTTCAGCAGAATCCTGTGTGTGTGTGTGTGTGTGTGTGTGTGTGTGTGTGGGTGTGTGTGGGGGTGTAGTACGTCACTATACTGGCCCTCCCAAAGTCTGGTCCAAGCTGAAGAATCATTCCTCATAACCAACAAGACAAGAACATAAATATTATATGTTTCTGTCCTCAGATGCTTTCAATATTCAAGCTGTTAGAAAATTCGAAGCTTTGGAAGATGTGATGAATTTCAAAAGGTCTACATTGCACCTACCTTTCTTTTGTTGTTGCAAAAAGGGATAGAAAGAGTGGTGATAAATTCCTCATTTTTCTGTTTCACAATAATCTTTGTGAAGCACTTGACATTTGTTAATAACAGTGCATCTTCCAAAATGAGTCATTTAAAACAAATGTAAATATGAAAAGTACAAAAGCAAAGATTAACATCTGCTGGGTAAACCATCTGAAGTATATTAGATTTATGTAAGATATTAGCCTGTGAAACACAACATTTAACGCTAACGTACACGTGAGGGTTACGTGTCTGGCTGTGTGCATTCCTGCACACATTTTAAGGCTACAGACGTGTGAGAATGTGCCCAGGTGCAGATGGCGATAAGGTTATTGGGCATTTGTTTGAGTCAGCTGTACAGATGAAATCCAGCTGTTGTCGCCAACTAGCCCTGCCTTGTTCCATATGGAGCTGTCTGTTTGAGATGTAGGGAGGTTGCTTTGAGCACTGCAGGCTGAATTTACTTGCACAATGTGTGTCCATCACTCACATATCTTCTTTTGGTATGTAAATGTGACCAATAGGATGTCTTTGGAGAGTCAAGTCAATTTTTATTTATACAGCTCAAAATTACAACTCACAAATTTTGCCATAAAGGGCTTTGCAATCTGCACAGCATGGCACCCTCTATCCTTAGACATTTGGTTCAGATAAAGAACAACTCCCCCCAAAAATCCCTTTTAATGTGGAAACAAAATGGAAGAGCAACACAGGAGGGATTCCTCTTGTAATAGATGCTTTGCGTACAAACTAGACAGAAATAACACAAGTAAAACGACAGTATGGTGAAACGGAACAACTTCATTCGGTGGATAGATTGTAAACCTATGACCTGGGCCACACAACCTCCTCTCTACCATGATAACATGCGAAGAGGACAGACTACACAATATACACATGAGATACAGACACAAAACTCAAAGATACCATGAATGAAGAAGGAACCGACAGCTAAAGGGAGCAAGAGGGAGTTCTTAAAACACTGTGATAGCTTTCTTGGTTGGAGATTTTGTTCAGGATGAAGTCACATTTATAGAGTCACTCTATTTCAGAAGGGGGTTTTTCGGGGATATTCAAGTCCCCATTATGTGTCGTTGTCAAGGTCTTGTTTGGAATGATGTGTACATGTATAATAGTATCTTATTCAGTGTTCCCCACAGAATTAGATTCTATTCGTGGTGGCAGCTGAGGGGTGTTATGTTCTTAAATAATTTTTCATTAATACCATAAAGTACTCGCCTGCAATTGTATTATAATTTTGGAAAGATTGTACCACTTTGGACAGATTTGTGCAACTCTGGATTTAATCTATTCAGGAATTTGGCCGGCCGTCTTCTCTGCAGGGAAAAGCCAAGAGCAATCCTGACGCATGATCATGTTTTGATTCAGAGTGTCCCCGTCACGGAGAGGAGGCGCTATTCACAGTCGGGTCTGTTGTCTGTGAGAGCGAGGCAAGGAGGGGCTGAGTTCATCAATGCGACAATGAAATATGATTTTACCCATTTTAAAAAGTAAAAAAGAAATAAATATATACATATATCATTATGTGGGGGTCAATGTGGATATTGTGGCAGGCTGCCACAAATAAATCCATGTATTGAGAAACACTGTATTTTCTAATAAGCCTATACATAATAGTTATGTTGTTTCCAGGCGTCTTAAAAGCAGGATAAGGACTTATACCAAATATTTATAAATGGAAAATCATGTTTACAAGCAGCAACACAAATATAGGAAATTCCAATCACCTGAGTATTAACAGGAACTTGTACGTGTGGTGTTGTGTGTTTTGTACAATATGATGTTGCCACAATAATTGGCAGACAATGATGTTCCTCCCCAGTAAATGATGCTGGTGGTTTGTTATTTACTTGATGTGAAGTCTACAGTCATGGGACACTAATGGGACGTTCTCAGTGTGAGACTGTTTTTCAGTTGAACGCCCAGATGACACAAGTCTGTATCGTTTTGTTTGACAAACTAAACAACATGTTACAGTATTTTACAACAAACACACACACACACACACACACACACACACACACACACACACACACA